GAAGATTTCGGAAATAACTTTTTTTTCCAATCACTACATTATTATTACAGGGATGCATTGTTATAAAATTATGAAATAAGAATAATTATGATCTTGAAGTCAAATAAAAAAAAAATAAATGTGTACAAAATAATAATAATAATAAAAAAAAAATATAATAAAAAAAAAAGATTTTTTTTTTTTTTTTTTTTTTTTTTTTTTTTTTTTATTGTAAAGTGTGAATAATTATAATTGGAGAAGAAAATAAAATAATGTGTACACATTTAACTGACAAGATTATAAAATTGTTGCAGGAAATAATAATAATGTTGTAAAAAAGCAAGATTTTTAGTTATAATTATTTTTGGTATAATTATATAGGAAAAAATAATAATAATGTGGGGGTACCCTACGGCTTTCCATAAAATTGTACACATTATTTTATTTTCTCCTCCAATTATAATTATTTACACTTTACAATAATAATCTTGCCAGTCAATGTGGACACGATATTAAAAAAAAAATAATAAAAAAAAAAATTAAATAAAAAATTTTTTTTTATTATTATTATTTTGTACACTTTTTTTTTATTTTACTTCAAGATCATAATTATTCTTATTTCATCATTTTATAACAATGCATCCCTGTAATAACAATGTAGTGATTGAAAAAAAAAAAAATAAAATTAAAAAAAAAAAAAAAACTTAAAACAATTATTTCCGAAATCTTCGTTATATAATCTTTGCAACAATAATGATCATGTAAATATAAGGCTTTGTTTTTATTTTCAACAGGAAAGATAACTTCTTTTTCAGTGACAGTAACGAAAACTCTGTCCCCTTCTCCACAATAATTATAAGATTGTGACTGCCTACATTATTTGAAGCGTGAAGATTTTATTATTTCTAGCGTGACGGATACAAACGTTTAAGTGAGAGAGATTTTCCTACATTATTTGAAGCGTGAAGATTTTATTATTTGAAGCGTGAAGATTTTATTATTTGAAGCGTGAAGTTTTTATTATTTGAAGCGTGAAGTTTTTATTATTTCAAGTGTGACGGAAATCAAGCGTCGATGCGAGAGAGATCGTCACCTGAAAAAGCCATGTGCTGTGCGATTTAGGCCTATATATATAAACAAGAAGCCGACGACAGACAAAGCGCTGTAAGTAGCCTATTACGTATCATTTATGTACAAGTTACGCTTTCAAATCTTATCATCTCATGTCAGTCATGATCTGTCAAACTGCAGATCAAATTTAAGAGCTAGCCTACCGAAGAAACAGGTAGTTCGAATTGTCTCTGTACTTCTTTTCCATATAAGAATGGAATTGTTTGGTGATTTATGTTGTACATATAAATAATTTAGCATAATCTAGATCTATTTCTTTATTAATATTCTATATATATATTTAAATTGGCATAATTTAAGTTTATTTCTCAAAAAGCAGTATATAAAATAAAAACAAGTAGATTGAAAAAATATTTCTCAGGAAGTGGTATTGGATTGGCCATGTATTTATAGTCCTAGGATGGAGAACAACATGATTTGTACTCCGGCAATGACATGGCACTCAGAAGAAAAGAGAAAAGTAAGCTGGCTGAAAAGAACATGGAGAAGAAAGATTCCAGCTGGGTTGGATTAGACAGAAGACAAAGACAGAGGCAGGTGAAGGCTGTGGTACATGTAATGGGGCCTTGTGTACCTGTAGGCATGAAGGGTATAGTATATACATGTACTTGTATTTTACAGTTTTAACTTGAATTTTCTCTGCAGTAAGTCTTTCACGTGTATTGAAACTGAATGCTTTGATTGGGTTTCAAGTTGAAGTAAAACTATAACAGTCCAGTCCAATACGAAAAATCGTAATATTACTAAAATTCGTAATATAAGCAATTTCTAACTCTTCTAAGAGTAACTTCCCTTTTTTCTGATACAACCTGCTTGTTATGTTTCATGAGAGATTATACGTCTCTGGTTTCATCAAATCATCGTGGATATGCATGCATTTTCTTTGTTTTGATGCATTTGATCCAAGTGCATGCAGAGTCAGAGCCTAGTGAAAGTTGTACAAGTTATATCCCGTAACATCTCGTTGTTGGAGATGAGGGTCTGATTTTTAGGGTAGACTTCGGGAAAAATATAGGGAATTCGGGGATTATAGAACACTATGACAAGTTTTAGGATATATTGAAGTTTTATGGAAAATTGTTCCCATCCCTGGGAAAATTCTTATATAAGAATAATAATACAAAATTTTCACTCACCCATTACTATTGTTACTTTCTTCTTGCATTTTCATACTTTTCGATAGAGGTCACTGACCAAAATGACCACGTGATACTAGTACCATTGGGGCATAATGTATTTCTGACGTCACACTTTCCTTAACATCATTCAGTTTCTTTCAATGCTTAATTTTGTCTTACATGCCCGCACCTCAGATCTCCACATTTTTTCCTTATTCAAAATAAGGAGAAAATGCGGACGGGAGTATTTGGACTAATTTTCCGCATTCATTCCAGATTTTCGTAGATTCAAATTTCCAGATTTTCTCCGTATTCAAAATATGGAGAAAATGTGGATGGGAGTATTTGGACTCTTTTTCCGTATTCTCTCCAGATTTCCGCATTTCCATATATACAAAATATGGAGGTATTTACTTGGTTGATAAAATGCGGAAATACGGAAATCTGGAGAAAATACGGAGTTAATCACATGGTTATAAAATGGCTAATAAAACCACTACATGATGCATACATACATAAATATTTACAAAACCATCAACAATGTGCAAAATTATATACAATTTATTATATCATTATGAGAAAAAAACATATAAATGAATGAACAAAATTACACATTATGTTCATGAGCAATGTATTGGATCTTATATCATTGACAAACAAATAGGAGCAATTGTATGGAAAAAAAAAACTGGAACTGTTATTTAAGCCACAAGGTCATCATGGAAAAAATGTGGCATTTTTTAATATTCATATTAAATAAAAATGAAATTTATTCATTCTATTTAAGCAAAAGTGGGAGTGAAATGTTCAACACTATTAGATATTGGGGAAAAAATAACAATTGACATTGCATTGAATATTTACAAAACAAGAAAAATTTTTTGACATTTTTTATCAATCTGAATCACATTAAAATTTTGCCATTTTCTACCTGCATCCCTGATTCATATTTCTCACAATTCAATTTATATCTCAGGTCTTTGCTTTACACCCATCTGTCCAATAAAAATTTTCTTCAAACTTCTTTGTAAATTGTAAGGTCACTGCATGTTTAATTTCTTGCAGCAGCACTTGCGGTCGAATTGGCAAATCCTATCAATTAAAAAAAAAGTACTTAAATTATAATGGTGCAATATTAATAAAGTTTAAATTCATTGCTTTTATTCCTTTTAAAATCTTTTTATAAACACAAGTTTGGGTTCTTCAATTTTATATCAATTTATTTAAAATATTATTTATAATAATGACAATCATAGTTGACTGTTTTTAATTAAACAAGCAATAAAAAAAGAAAAAAAAAGAATATATATACCTCAAACATAACCATCCATGGACCAAGCTTTAAGCCTGTTAAAACCGCAGTAAGTTGAATAAGCACTTATTCTTTTTCAGAAATCTCCTCCTCATGCACAGACGCTACCAAAAAAAAAAAAAAGTATGGTAAATCATTGCTAGAGATTACAGCCCATGGCTCCCCAAAATTAACACCTTAATTGTGGTTAACCATAATAAAATTCTATGAGCTGATTGAAAGATTTGAGTCATGGGCATATTGGCTGAAACGTATGTAGCCTGGTAGCTCAGTCCTAGGCCTAGAGTATTTATTTTCATCACATGTTAAACATTTTAACACACATGTTAAAAAAATATGACTGACCTACCGCATATGAAATACGTGTATCTGCACCTTTTGGTTGATACAGCAATACGATCTCAGGCTGTCTGGTCAACAAACTTCTTCCTTTAAACAGAGCAGACGTTGCAACATGGAAGCCAAGGTTAAATTTTGGCGGTCTGTTGTTTAAATTAATTGATCATTGAGCCCGACTTTTTGAAACATTCTTCCGATCCCGATCAAATTGTACATGTGTATAACACTCAGGAGAAACAGAGAACTGCTGTTAACTCCAAGACAGTTTTTATGCACCCAAATTTTTTCGGGGCGCATATTGTTTTTGTCCTGTCTGTCTGTTTATCTGTATGTCTGTCTGTTTGTCTGTCTGTTTGTCTGTCTGTTGTCAACTTTAACCTTCGCCATAACTTTTGAACCTTGAGACTTAGAGACTTCATATTTGGTATGGATACTCCACTACAAAAACACTTTCAAATGACACCAAGGTCAGTGACCTTGTGACCTTGATTGTGACCTTTATGCTAAAAACAGCTTTTTCGAACTTTCGCCTTAACTTCTGAACCGTGAGAGATAGAGACTTCATATTTGGTATGTATGCATACTCCACTAATTAGGCACTTTCAACTGACACCAAGGTCAGTGACCTTGACTGTGACCTATATGCTAAAAATAGCTTTTTCGAACTTTCGCCATAACTTTTAAACTGTGAGAGATAAAGACTTCATATTTGGTATGCATACTCCACTAATTAGGCACCTTCAACTGACACCAAGGTCAATGACCTTGTGACCTTGCTAAAAATAGCTTTTTTCGAATTTTCGCCATAACTTTTGAACCATAGATGATAGAGACTTAATATTTGGTATGCATACTACACTAATAAAGTGCTTTCAAATGACACAAATAACAATGATTGTGTGACCTTGACTGAGACCCATTTGCTAAATGTGCTTTGCCACGTGCTACTGTGTTTCACAAACACATCTTGTTTTTGATGAAAAAATTCTAAGTCCAGAGCTCCGTATTTTTTCCAGATGAAAAATATTCTAAGTTAAGAGTTCAATATTTTTCCAGATGAAAAATAGACTAAGTCCAATTCTCCGTATTATTTCCGTTTATTTTCCGGATTATTTCCGTATATTTTCTGCTTTTCCGTATTGTTAATTTTCTCCGTATTTTTTTCCACATTTTTTCCATATTAAAATGAGGAAAAAATGCGGAATAATGCGGAAATCTGGAGATCTGAGGTGCGGGTTACGAAAACTCGTAATACAGTCTCTCACAACATGCTATGTTACGAGTTTTCGTAATTTAACTATATTACGAAAAATAGTAATATAAGAATAATATTACGATATTCTGTAATATTACGATTTTTCGTATTGGACTGGACTGTATAACGTAATCGTATTGATTTGTCTACTCAGTTTTTATTTACTGTAGGACCAGATCATCAAAATACATTTACTGTCTTATATTGCAGATCATGAGATGTATGGATGTTGTCCTAAGTAAGAACTGTCCTGGCAATGTTGGAATGAAATTTACAGGTAGAAGTGTTATTGCTTGTGTTTCTGCATGTGAGGCTATGGGGGGAGGCTTTTAATGTACAGGGTATTGAAGACTCTCTACACAGTGAGAGACCTACAGTGTATTTGATTATGATTTTAATAGAGTAAATAGAGGATATTCAATGTTTCGTAGTTGAATATGGAATTTATTTCACGAGTGGGACAGGATTTTTTTAAAAATTTTCACGAGTGTGAAGCACGAGTGAAAATATAAAGCAAACCACTTAGCCTGAGTAGGGAATCTGGATATAAACTTTTCAATTTTGACTTTGTACGGATTAAATCCATTCACAAGTATTGTGATTTGTGATGAAAAGATTTTCTAAATATTATTTTTAATGTAATTAAATACTGTTTATATAAAGTACAGAGTTTTGCACCATTTGTCAGATTATTATTATCAGTGATTTCATGACATGTGCAAATCAAATCATTTCACTTATAGACAATAGCTTGATTCTCATGTTACATTGATTCTCTGTTGTTTTGGAACTGAACTACCAGTTCCCCACCACCTTCAGTATCTGATCAAGGGAAACTACTCATGAGAGGGGGTATTAAAACATTGTTAATCCTATAATGCCTTGATGTGTTAATCTTTTCAAATTCATTTATGACCATCAGTCATCTTAGTCATCGGCCTCTTTACATGATCTCAGGCCATCGGCCAACACATAATGGGAATTAACACATGGTCAATCTTATAAGTATGTCTTTGTATAAGTATGTCTTATCTCATGTTATTTTTCAACAGAAATTTGATATTCAAGTATCCATCATGCAATATAACAGTGTAATGAGTTCAATATCAAAGTACATAAAATCTATTGGAAGCAAAGGTTTACTTAAAAGATCTTCTACTCCTTATATCCCAATGTATTATAAACCTTTTCTTTTGCAAAACAGATGTACGAAAACTATATATGAACAGTTAAATGTTAATATAATTATTCCTACTTCTGTAGAGAAATGGAATTTAGAGCTCGGCCATTATGGTATAGAGATATGTGTGAAGGATGTTTTTAATGCTTGTTTTAAGACTACCAAAGACTCTTCAATCCAATGGCTACAATATAGAATTCTTCACAGAATTTTACCTGTTAAGTATTATTTGAAAAAAATCAATGTTATGTCATCTGATAGCTGTTCTTTTTGTGAACATCATATTGAGACAATACAACATGTATTTATTAATTGTGAAAAGGTTTCCTCACTATGGAGTGATCTTAGTATGCATATTTATCAAAAAACTTCAAAAAGAATTGGTTTTAATGTAATTAACATTTTATTAGGTGAACTTCCATTGTCTAAAGGCAACAAAATTGTAAATTTCTTGATCATGTATACAAAACAATATATTTTTTCTTGTCTTAAAAAAGGCAAAATGCCAAACCTCTTGGAACTTCTCTTTTACTTATACAATAAATATAGAGTTGAAAAATATATTGCGAGCCGAAACTTAGAAATGCAAAAGTTTGATAATACCTGGCAAAACTGGAAATGTTTATTTGAAAATCTCATTAAGATATAGACTGTTACAATATGTGACACTTTTTTTCTGTTATTGAGTTGGCTTGCGTAGCAAGCTACTCCCTGTTGACGCAGCCGTTTCAGAGCTGTAAAATTTTTCACACATTCATCAAGGTGATCAATACGCCAGACATAATAGTTCTAGCAAAAAATGCTTTGGTTTGAGTGATTGTATAAACTTAAGAGGTAAAAACTGTATAAAATTTCATACTGTAACATTATTTATGCCTTCATGCTTTTAAAGAAATTTTTGATTAAATATCTGTACGATGTACATGCAATTACTGCGTATGAATATATGTTGAAGCATGATAGGTGGATCTAATCTTCCCATCTGAAGTTTATTTATAATTGACCTAGAATACTCCCTAACACAAACACCTGCTGCTCGCATTAGCTGCAGCTAGTTGTTGTTAAAAATCTATTTTTAGAATCCAGATTTGCTGTGGGAACCTTTAACCTAATTATTCCATAACACTGACCACTTCAGCTAATGTGCTTAAATTCATTATAGAATCCAGTCAAAATAATATGGAAGGCCTTTAGTGCCAACCTGTATATATAAAGGAAAAGCAATATACACTTTATTTATGAACCGAACATGGATTAGACATGTAATATTAAATCTCTTAAGATGCAAAATAAACTGAATATATTAAGGTATGGTGCCCAGATGTATGAAAAGGCTCAATTGACCCAAGCGAGTCAACTCGCAGGCCCTTCAGGCCTTTGATATTGATATGTATGTATATAAATATATATCTCTTTTTCTCTGTCTACATACAAGAACAAATATAAACACCACTTACCAAAAAGAATGAGTGTGAGTGAGAAAGTGTGAGTAAATGGCATGGAAAAAAAACATACTTGGTGTAATATCTTTGTAATAAGACGAAAAAATAAAAAAAAAAAAAAAAAAAAAAAGTATGTCTTTGACGTGTATTAATCTGCCCTAAAATAATTTGTACTTGTGACCATCGGTCACCTTGGCCATTGGCCTCTGTATATCTCAGGCCATAGGCCTACTCTTAAGTTTTTAAAGCCACCAGCATCACTCAAACCATAGGTCAACAAAGGCCACCGGCCCTCGTCTACAAGGCCATCAGCCTTTGATTTTAGAGCTAACAGGCAAGCTTGGTTATTTTTTCTTTACAGTTTTGTTTTAATGATTGCCTTATGTATAGCACACTTTCACTGAACTAGTTTAAACATGCACGCCCTCTGTGTTCATGTTCTGTGTATACCATATGTTATGATGTATCATGCCGAGTAGTTCCCAGAGGCAAAATTCAAAATCTGATACTGATTCCTTGTCCTTGTTTTACGTAAAACACTCTTCAATGCCTTTTTAAACAATTCATTAATCATTAGTCATCATGAGAAATCAAAATTATTCTATAATTATTGAAAGAATTATGTGCACATTTATTTTTTTAGGAGCTACAAAGAGTTTTGGCTTTTAGAAGTATAACTGTTCTAAAGAAAGAAAACAGTGTGGCAAAGAAAGGAAAGGATTATTCACTCAAAGAAATATGGATGACAAGGTAAAATGGACATTCTGTTCTACAGAATTTAGAGAAGTGATTTATTTATTACAGATAATGACAGATTTACCCAGGGAGGGTGTAAAAAAAGCTTGAGGGCAATTGCAGATATTTTATATGAATTTTTTAGATCTACTGGTCAGAGACCAGAAGAGCTTATGTGATAGTAAGGTGTCCGTCGTCTGTCCGTCTGTCTAGCTGTCTGTCTGTCTGTAAACAATTTTTCAAAACGCTACTCCTCCTACAGTTTTGGTCTGATTTTAATATAACTTGGCTCACAAGTAGACTACAATAAGATACATAAAATAGTGCATCGGTTTTTGATTTCGATGAACGATGTTGCCATTGTTACTAAAAATAGAAATGTCTGTGAAATTCCTTTAAAATGCTACCCCTAAGGCCTTCTCCAGTTTTGTTCTAATGGCAATGGCTTCTTTTCTCATCCTCTGTAATAATTACAAACCAGTAGAGCTACAGTCTCGACAGAGACTTCTGGTTTAAATATTATACTGCAGAATATATTAATTTAATGATGTACATAATCTAGTGGGCTCTTTATTTAAATTTACTCTGTATTGATATGTTAAAATCAGACAATTTATCATGCGTTTTAGCTCACTTGAGCCAAAGGCTTTATAGGTAAATTTTGCTGATCAAAGAGTGTCTGCTATCCATCATATAAAATAACGTTTTTTATCTGTAAACTTTTTACATTTTAATCTCTCCCCCCATAATTCAACAAAATCAAAAGGCAAGATTGAAGGGGTAGGATTAAGGCTAAGGGGAGATAATTCAGAAAAGAAAAAAAGGTTTTATTGAGTCATTTGAAAATTTTCCTATTTTATTCATCTCATTCTTTTAAAACTGAATTTAAGTAACAAATTAAATTATAGGAAAAATCAGGTCAAAAAATGTTGATGAAATTAAATAGGTCCCATCAATATGTATCGATCAGCATATAAGGTTTGACAAAAGTATTATTTAATAATAGCTCTTGAAACTGGGCTAAACACAAATTCAAGCAATTAAGGTCAATGTCAAAAGAAAGCTCAATGTCCAAAAAAGTGGATGCAGTTGAGAGGCTCTCTCATTATTATGTGTCAGCATATGAAGTTTCTTTAAAAATATTTTGAATACTTTCTTTGAAACTGAGATAAATGCAAATTGTGATGAAGGGACAGAAATGCATGTTATGGGAGCTCATGTTAAGGTGAGCATTGTGGTCCATGGGCCTCTTGTTATGTGTTATTTTCATTGATCAACAATCAGGTGATATACATGTGATGATATTGTTACATTTCAGTACCTCCAGTGAATGATGTCATATCCAGCTTTGAAATGTTGTGTTTGAAAGAAAAGGATCTGAAGAAGGAGAAAGATCTATTTTATAGAATTAGATGGATTAATAAACTGTCAAAGCTATTGCTATCACTAAATTTTGTACAATACTTGTAATTCTTTATCACTGAGTCTATGAGCCTTCTGATGATAGTGTATCTAATCTGAGAAAGCAGTGTCCATGATATCAATCTTGAAACATTTCAAGATATTGATAACCTAATATCAAAACATAATATGTACAGATTTAATAGCAGATGAAAACTCTACACAAACTGGATACTGATGTTACTGAAATTTAGAGATGTCATACTTGGTGTGGATTGATTTAAGAAAAAAAATTAATGTCTGATATGATATAATAAACTAATTACTCCAGTCTTGTTTTTTGCTTTTATTTTTAGGAAATATGTACCGGTATTTAGATGTAATTTGCATAGGTGTTTTTAACCCCCATAATTGAAGATTTGGGGGCTTGTGGTTTTTGCTTTGTCTGTCTGTCTGCAAAAATCATATCCTTTTTTAGCTCACCGAAGGCTTTTCTGATCACATTTTGTAAGTAGTCCGTCTGTCCGTTTGTAAACTTTTTACATTTTCAACTTCTTCTCAAGAACCACTAGGCCAATTTTCACCAAAGTTGGTACAAAGCATCTTTATGTGCTGGGGAGTTTAAATTGTAAAAATAAAGGGCCAAGTCCCCTTCCAAGGGGAGATAATCAAGAAAAGACAAATTTGGTCGGGGTCATAATAAAAAATCTTCTTCTCAAGAACCACTGGGCCAGAAAGGATGAAACATGTGGAAGCATCCTGGGGTAGTGTAGATTCTAAATTGTTCAAATCATGACCCCTGGGGGTAGGCTGGGGCCAAAATAGGAAATCCAAGTTTTACATAGACTGAAATATATAGGAAAAATCTTCCCAAGAACCAGTGGGTCAGGAAAGCTGAAACTTACGTGGAAGCATCCTTGTGTAGTGTAGATTCTAAATTATTAAAATCAAGATGGAGGTAGACCGTGGTGGTGGTGGGGGGCCACAATAGATATAAGAAAAGGGGAAATCTGGAAAGAACTGCATCACCAAAGTAACTCAGGTGAGCCATGTGGCCCATGGGCCTCTTGTCATAACTTTTGAATTGTAAGCTAATACGATTTATCATTGAGTCAAATGCTGACTGACGTTTTTCATACTAATTGTTAGTCCAATATTTATACACTGAATTGACGACAGATTTTTCTGCTATTTCCCGATCATGACAAGGAGCACACAGCTTGTGTGACTGTTTGGCAGGGGATGTTCACTCCTCCATGGCAACTGATCCCACCTCTGATGTTTTGGAGGTCCTTGTTTGCTCTGCTCCTACCGTATACGTGGAAATTTTAGCAAGAATTTTATTTTGGCATTATTAGCGAAGGCACTGATATCGCTAAAAATTAATTTTGGTTTCATTTGTAATAGCTTCTTCGGTGGCATTTTTAAAATGCTAAAATTACTTCTCACTAACAGCAAATTTGCATCTCGATAAAATTTCCACTTATACTGTATTTTGTATTGTTTTATGGACTTTGAAATGGAATACTGTTCCTTATCTCCATATCTTTTATTACATTTTTGCCATTCAAATCCAAGAAAAAGCTCAAAAAACCCCACCAGTTTATCATCCATTTCTTTATAATTTTAGTACATTCTTTCCCTCTTGGGTGGAATTGTTTTTGTCTTGTTTTTTAAGAAAATGAGTAAATATTACAATATATGATGTATTTATTGTCACCAAATTGGTAGCTCAATAAATCATCATTATCTGAGTAACCTGTTAGCTTCAAATACTTAAAATGAATTACTTCTTTTAGGAAAATGGTAGAGAAAATTCAAATAAAAATTGCCTCAATTGCTTTGCTATTGGAAATGCAAATTTAAGGTATTTTATGTACATGTTAAACAAGGGATTTTTGAACAAATTTTGAATGATTTTAAACTAGTAAAAAATACATTGCTAGTTAACAATAAATGTGAAATGAACCAAATTGACAAAACCTAAAACATATTAGAAGCTGGTCATTTTTCTCCTTTAGAGATTTTGAAGAATTCTCTAACCTTGATTTAAAAAAAATGTTTTTAATTTGTCAAAATATATGTGGTATATGTTTCATTTCATTTCATAGTATAACAAGAGGCCCATGGGCCTTATAGGTCACCTGAGCATTATGCAACATCTTTCCAGTGATTGAATTTGATTCATGTTTTAATTCAGATGCTATGGCATTCACAATTTTGAAAGAGGCCCCATTGATCATCATAACAATACACTTAGCAGTTGCTTATTTTGTTTACTTAATACCCATAGGCAGGGTAGGGGAACAAAAAATGCATTTCAAGTAATCAGTAACATTCAGCATGCTCAGTAATGCCCCAATCACACATGAACCCCTGACCCTTAGGCCTAGATCCACACATTGCACAATTTTTGAAAAGGCACCCTTGCTTTTCTAAAATATTTGATTAATACCAAGGAGCATATTTCGAACAATTCTTCCAGTTTCAGTATGTAAGTACAGCCCCCCCCCCCCTCCTCCTTTATGGTACCCCTGACCCTGGGGCCTTGAAATTCACAATTCTGGAAGATTAGTACCCTTGCTCATCATAACTATATAGGTAGTTCATCTGCTTAATACCAAGGAGCAGAGAAGAAAACTTTCAAAGATTCAATGTATTTTCACTATATAATCAATAGAGCCCCGCCCTATCACTAGAACCCCTGACCCAAGGGCCGTAAATTTCACATTTTTGGAAGAGGTATTCTTGCTCATCATAACTATGTAATTAGTTTATTTCATTCCTTAGTAGGAGCAGAGAAGAAGATTTTCAAAGAATTCATGTATTTTCAATATATAATCTATAGAGCCCTGCCCTAACAACAGAACCC